ACTTAACGTGATTGTGACTAGCAACCTTCACTACTTATGAATATAAGTTCATAACGATTAGGTGAAATTCCCTTATATTCTAGCGTCAAATTCATGCATGTAAATTAAGCGTGCACTCTCAACCAACATACACAAATCAGTTTTTATACGAACAGATAAGTAAATTGAAATCACAACTTATGAAATTACAACCGAAGGTAATCAATTCATATTACAAATATAAATCATGGCTTTGAATTAACCTCTAGCCAAAATAAAATTAATTACACATTATTAAAACAAAAATAAAATAGGAGTTTGGAAAGATTAAACCGAAAGAAAGGATCTGCTGCTTGGACTCTGAACTGCATTTTCATGCTGATCTCCTGTCCTCTCTACGTCTGCGAGCTGCCCTCCTTCTTTCTGTTTTCCTGTGCTGTCTGACCTCGCTGCCAAAGGGCAGCTTCCCCCTTCCCTTCTCTCCGCAGCTTCACGCTGCCCAAAGGGCAGCCCTCTGCCTTCCACCAATTCCCCCCCCTTACTTGTCTTGCTGTGCTTCTTTATATTTTTCCCGCTGCTCCTTCCTTTATTTTTTTATATTTTTTTCTTTCTTTTTTTTTCAGCTGCCCCAAAGGCAGCTCCCTCACTCTCCCTTCTATTTCTTATTCTTTCCGTTTCTGCGCACCACCCCCACTTCCTTTTGCTCCTCACTTTATTCTTTACAGTCTGCCGTCTGCTTCTTATCTTCTTCTTCCGCCCAGCTGCAAAGGCAGCTTTTATTGCTTAGTTTTCTTTTCCCCGCAAGGCACGCTGCAAAGCAGCTTGCTGCTTATTCTTTTTCTTTCTTTTCGCTGGCAGTTTTGCTGCTCTCCTATATTATATCCCCCTCTGACCTGCCTTCCATCTCCTTCTTATTCTTTTATTCTTTTTGGCAGCCTTGCTGCCTTCCACTTCACGCTTTGCCCCAACATATTTCCACATGTGTTGTCCATGCAAGCTTTCCATCTTTTTGTCACTGCCAAGGCTCACGTTTTCCTCCTAGCTGCAAAGGTAGCTCCTCACTTTTTGTTTAGTCTGTGACATTACACAAATTAATTAATTCATTAAAGAAACAAATATGTGATTTTCATTGATGGGAAGAAGACAATTAATAATTTAAAAAGACGAATTTAGCCAAGATTCAAGTAATTAAGAACTAGATAATAACTAAAAACTCATTTGTGCCATTTTTATTTTCTTTGCATAACAAATCCTATAAACACAAAAATAACGTAAATAGCTCAAAAATATAAGGAACTAACTAAGAAAAGACGAGTGAATTTGAAGTAAAAATATATATAAATATGATCCGATCAGAAGCTCCATCTGGGCCTCGGGAACTTGACACAGCTCTTGAGCCTTTCTCTGCGCGTAAATACGCTCTCCGGTCCACTCCCTATCAACCTTGTCAACCTAGTCAACCTTCAGAGTCTCTACTTGCAAAGACTCAGAGCGGATGGAAAGGATTTGCAGTTGCTCATAATCTTGTGGATTGAGATGCATTGTTTTTTCAAATGATACGACCAACAACATTCAAGGTGATTGTCAAAAGCTGCACAAAAACCTTTAGGGCCTGTCAAGCACCACCCCACGCGGTGCCAGAGCAAGCAGTGAATATACTCATCACCACTGATACGAAGGTCCTCACGGTTGGGGCAGTCGCCGACCCATATCCCATCTCCTGCGAATACCACGGGAAAAGCAAAAGCGGAGATAAGATTCTTTTCTTATTATTAATTCTATTATCATTTATTGTCTACCATTTGCCAAAAGGGAAATGAAAGCAAAAGCAAAGCAGAAAAACCGAGAAAAAACAGAAAGCAAAAGCAAGGAATAAAGGGAGGAAAATAATGAAAAAGGAAAAGATGTTTGGAGATGGAGAAAATAGGAGAAAGTGGAAAACATGGCACACCCATACCCACTGTCATTGATGAATATTTTATTAAGTTATCTTCTGCAAACTAGAGCAATTATTGTATAGTTATACTGATGTGTAAAAAATGCAGCATGCCAAAAAAAAAAAAAAAACCGTAAGCCCAATATAATAGGCTGGAATGTTATGCGGAGGGCGAATGCATATATGCCCAAAAAAGCCAGGCCCTATGGCTTCAAACTCCAACCTCCATCCCTCCACTTAAAGTTCACCCTCTATTATCACCAACCAGGTGATCAAAAGTACGTCCAGTACTCCAAAATTATTCGGCAGCCTGCCGCTATTATCACCAACCAGGTGATAAAAAATACGTCCAGTACTCCAAAATTATTCGACAGCCTGCCGCTATTATCACCAACTAGGTGATTAAAAGTACATCCAGTACTCCAAAATTATTCGACAACTTGCTGCTATTATCACCAACCAGGTGATCAAAAGTACGTCCAGTACTCCAAAATTATTCGGCAGCCTGCCGTTATTATTACCAACTAGGTGATCAAAAGTACGTCCAGTACTCCAAAAAATCATACATGAGCATCACTCATGTCAATCATACATAAACATTCATGAGCATCCCTCTTCACAACATTCATGAGTATCACTCATGTCAACATTCATGAGCATCACTCATGTCAATCAGCTTCGAAAGCTTCATTTACAGAGCTCTAGCTTCGAAAGCTTCATTTATAGAGCTCCAGCTTCGAAAGCTTCATTTACAGAGCTCTAGCTTTAAAAGCTTCATTTACAAAAGTTCCAGCTTCGAAAGCTTCATTTACAAAGCTTCACCTACAAAGCTTCAGTGCATGGTATACAAAGACCGCCTCCGAACAACCGCCACTTCGGCCCATACATGGATTGAATTTGAAGTCTCCAGCCAACATACCCTATTGACTAAAGACTTGGGGGACTACACTATGTACCATATATTGGGCTTCTGCAACTAGGCCTTATGAAAAATACTTGGGGGATTTAGCCCATTATTTATATACTGAGGAGCAAACTCTTATTCTATAAAAGGGACTCCCACTTTCATTAGAGAGCACCCATTATTTATGTATTGAGGAGTGCGCCCTTATTCTATAAAAAGGACTCCCTCACCATCATTAGAGAGCATCGCCGCCTGCTGAGCAACTGCCTCGCCTCGAGCATCAACTCTAGCCCATCATTTATGTATTGAGGAGCGAGCCTTTATTCTATAAAAAGGACTCCCTCACCTTCATTAGAGAGAGACTCTTAGCCCATCACTTATGTATTGAGGAGCGAGCCCTTATTCTATAAAATGGACTTCCTCACCATCATTAAAGAGCATCGCCGCCTGCTGAGCAACTGCCTCGCCGCGAGCATCAACTCTAACCCATCATTTATGTATTGAGGAGCGAGCCCTTATTCTATAAAAGGGACTCCCTCACCTTCAACGCCACAAGCTGAGCCAACCAAGGCAACATAAGCCACAAGCCGAGCAGCCTCGCAACATATGCTACTTCTAGTTGAGCATCATTTTACATTGAACACTGCCTCATATCGAGTATTCAGTTCTAGAGGACATCTAGTTACTTCGGCCCACACATGGACTGAATTTCAAGTCTCCAGTCAAAAGACTCTCTTGACTGAAGACTTGGGGGACTACTGTTTGTACCATACTTAGGGCCTCCGTATTTAGACGTCGTATAAATACTCGGGGGACTCAAATGTAATTATGTAATGAATGAAGAGGCAAATATGTAATAAGTGAGGAGATCTTATTCTATAAAAAGACCCATCACTCTCCTCATTAAGGAGGTCAAGTTTTAGGCCATAGGAAGAGGGCGCACATAAAATAGGCTAGAGAGCACACTGCCTCTAGCCTTCTTGTATATTCACCATTCAGAGTGAAACAATATCAACAACAGTGTGGACGTAGCACAAACATTGGGGTGAAACACGATACATCTTGTGTTCTTTACTTTCTTGCAGATTCACGGTCGGATTTACATTGTTCGAAAGACCCCTCCGATTTTGTGCATCAACAAATAATATTGTGCTTTGTTGGTTCTTGGACATGTTACATGTGGTGGATTAAGGTTTCCTGTTGAAATCATAGTGATTTATATGATGGAGGAAGTGGAAATGTTGTTTGTCATATTGGATTGTTATGTAGCCCTGAATCTAGTACTTCCATACTTGTCAAGTTCTAATGATTGATTGAAGAATGTTATATCTTTCGACTTGAACGTACTATGGTAAATGTAGATGGGTAGTGAATGATGAATTACGAATGACTTGATCCTTGTTTAGGGTACGTAGGTAGTCTAACGAGGAGGTTAGATGTAGCCATAAAGCTTACGAAAAATTATTATGCAATTGGATCTTGAGTTATGCCTTGTACATATCTCGGATGCGGGATCTATTAGATATACGGATGCTGGGTGACGTCACGCGTCGATCCTGGATGTATGTTGAGTTCGAGGCGTGACAGCAGTTGTGCGCTTGGTGATTATGTGTTGTGCTTATGGTAGCCTACTAGGGGTTTACTCTTATTTCTCTATTTGTGCAAATTCACTCCAGATCAATTTATTGGTCATTGGATCTATGTACCCAATGGCACCCTTGTATTTGTTTGTGATAATTAATGAAATATCATGCTATCGTTTCTTGTAAAAAAAAAAAAGGTTTGAAGTTCGATTCGCATAATATTCATTTATATTAAAAAAAAGGGTCAAGTTTAACTTTTTTTTTAACAAAAAATATTATCTACACTAAGGGGAGGGGATATGCTTAGCCTCACAATGAGCTAGCAATAATGTGATTTAAATTTGCTTTTGACAAGAATCGAACCTAAAATCTCTCACTTACAAGTGAAGAGGAATACAACTAAACCGTGGTTGTCAAATTTAACTTTTAAATATTAACTCTTAAGCATTACTTTTTAACTATATGAGTACCCAAATTCATATATGAACCTACTTAACCGGAACTGGATCCGCTCCGGACCTTAGTTTTTGGAGTGTAAGGATCAATCTATTTGGGCTGTTGATCGGTATGTAAAAGAAATCAAAGTTGTTGGTTTGTGTGTGGTGGGCTAGAAAAATGAGTTAACGAAGACCGTTGGATTCAATTTGTGCGGTCCAGATTAGTTGATCCTTAAGCTCTGGACATTAAGGTTTGGAGTGGATCCAATTCCTGCTTAATCAAGCACATACAACACCGTTCCATTCTCACGCTCGCACAGACGACGACACAATCTGAGACACTCTCTGTCTTCCATCCACAGCAGCTTCGTTAGCTTTGGAGAGAGATGGAGGAGGAGCGAGCGAGGAAGAAATTACTGATACTCTACGCCACCCAAACCGGAAACGCTTTAGATGTCGCCGAGCGACTGGCCGCCAAGCCGAGCGCAGAGGCTGCCCCGTCCACCTCTCTCCCTCGACCAATGCGACGCCATAAGCAGTCCTCCTTTGCATTCAATTTTGTTCTTCTTCTGGTTAAAACAATAATTGCATTACCTGAAGAATAATTTTCTAATTTTTCTGTTTTACTCAGAGATGCTTAGCTCAAGAGGGCACTGTAATTTTTGTTGTTTCAACCACTGGCCAGGGAGATACTCCTGATCCCATGAAGGTAAAAAGCTTTTGCTTTTTCTTAGCAATTCGGTTAACTTGTTTATTTACTGTAATTCTCCCCTGTGGGTAATTTGATAAAGGTTAAATATGTGAAAAAGATTGCATCTTTATGTTTATGCAGGGGTTTTGGAAAGATCTTCTGCAGAAAAATCTGAGTAGGCAATGGCTGGACGGACTCCGTTACTCTGTTTTCGGATTGGGTGATTCCGGTTACCAGAAATTCAATGTATATTGTTTTGTGCCATTTCTTTATCTTCTGCACGATTGTTTGTTGCAGCCTGTCGTATGATTGATGAGTATAACGTGTTGCTTTTTGACCTGTTAATTTATATGGAATTTATATGCTTGTGACGTTCGAGTTGTGGTTTGCATTTTGTGGCAAAGAAGCTTGATAGGAGACTTTTGGACCTTGGGGCAACCCCGATTGTCGAAAGAGGTTTGGGAGACGATCAGCACCCGTCAGGTTACGATTTTGATTCCTTTTTTTTTTTTTAATTTCAAAATTAGTTAATGAAATCTTGCCATATGTAGAAACTGGGACGATGTATTTTCTTTTACCGTTAACAGGTACGAGGCTGCTCTGGATCCGTGGATGGCATCATTGTGGAATATGTGGAATAAAATCGATCCCAACTACTTCCCCAATGGCCCAGACTTTTTTATTCCATATGAAAATTTTATGGCGAAACCAAAGATTCGGATTCTATATCACGACATTGACAAGGTGGATTCACAAGTTTCATCTAAATCAGGTAATTTGGCTGTTCATAGTTCCCCTCTTTCTTCTATAACCGTGTATTTGCAAATATCATTTTACGGACCAAGTTAGAAAGCATGTTTCCAAAAGCAGTAGGCATTTTACGACCGATAGGTTTTCAGATTCTATTAAATGGCATGTCACAATCCTTTTTATTTCCTTGCCTTTCCCCCTTTAAACCCAAATAAATTTTCTTTATGCACAAAACTGGAGGTCTTAGAACAACGTAAATCCGATCGTGAATCTGCAAGAAAGTAAAGAACACAAGATGTATCTTGATTCATCCCAATGTTTGGGCTACGTCCATACTGATGTTGAGTACTTGACGTACTTGTGATCATCTGGTTAGTGATAATAGCAGCAGGGTGCCGAATAAATTTGGAGTACTGGACGTACTTTTGATCACCTGGTTGGTGATAATAGCGGCAGGGTGCCGAATAAATTTGGAGTACTGGACATACTTTTGATCAATTGGTTGGTGATAATAGTTGCAGGGCACCAAATAATTTTGGAGTCATAGGGCTTGGCTCTTTTGAGCATATGGGCCTTGGCCCTTCACATAACATTCCAACCCATTATTTTGGGCTTGCCCTTTTTTTTATTTATTTTTTATTACCATCTGATGGGGTTATACAAATGTCTCCGGAAGATAAGAAAAATAAATCACATCATTAAAAAATAAATCTGACCCTCTGCTCAATGGGTCACGCCCTTAATTCCCTTTTCTGGATGCCATCACCACTGCAATTTTGTCTGCTTATTTTTATCTTATTTTGCTTTCTGCTTTCGGCCTGGTTGTTGCTGGGACCTTGTAGTGGGATGGCATGTGCTCTTGCAGAGGGAAGCCTCCCTTTTCTTTTCCTTACTTTTGCATGTGGGTGGTCGACAAAAGCCATCCATGTGGGTGGTCGACTAAAGCCATCCAGACTCATCATTTCTGATGGCATCACCGACAGAAACGGTTCGAGGAGGTTGCGGGAATTGAATGAAACAAATAATATCCAAAATCTGATCACTCACCAGAATATCCAACCCACCGTAGTTTTCTTTCAACCAATCACAAAACTCAATGGTGGACGTTGTGTCTAACACATCGAGCTGATGGTAAAATATATTGAGACAACCTTCTTGGAAGACCTTAGCTGCTTCAAGCCCCACAATAAGGTCTTTGGATGTGAGTATAACAGTAAATCCATGTGCCACAAGCTGCTTCGAAATCTCAAACCCAATCCCCATGTTACCCTCAGTCAACAGTCTCTGTTGACCACCACCGCTGGTGATTGGAATAAGGGATGGTTCTGAGGAGGGAGATTTTCTTGGCGTCTCTTTTCTCTTCTTTCTTTGGCTCCGGGTGCGTAGCTCCTTGGTCGTGCGGTTGGATCGAGGCTTCGATCACTTCCTTGACGAGAGCTCGACCGCCAAGATCCTGTGAACCTAGATGCTTGACCTGGTAATTGTGGAGGAGCTCGAGCTCGGCGAGCGCCTTCTCCATTTCGTGAACCGTGCTGGTGCAGTAGATTAGCTTGACGGGGTTTTGGGGTTTGGAATTGAATAAGAAGATGAGACGCAAAAAACCCAAGAATCAAGCTAATTCTGCTCTAGAGGATCAGGGACAGGTGTTCCCATCTCCCTGCGCCACGTATGTTGGAGTCTATGACGGCCATGGCGGTCCTGAAGCTTCTCGCTTTGGTTAAGGGGAAAACAGGAAAGGGAATACGTGGGTTTTGGTTTTTGCTTATGCTTGTGCTTGTTTATAATATGGAGATGAGAAAAGATAGAGCATATGAGGTTTCATTTCTGCATTTCTGAGAGATGGGTTTTGTAGTGACCGTGCAGGTGTTTGGTTCTTGGGTTTCTGCAGATTCACGGTGGAGGTTGTGGTGAGGTTTCAAGGTGGTGAGATGAAAAAAATGAAAGAGAATCGACATAGCTTTTCGTGTCGATTCCCACAGACGACGCCAAATGTTGATGCACAAAACCGGAGGGGTCTTGGAACAACATCAATCCGATCGTGAATCTGCAAGAAAGTAAAGAACACAAGATGTATCATGGTTCACCCCAATGTTTGGGCTACGTCCACACTGATATTGTATTTCTCTGTTTGTGAGAGGATTTTGAGGGAGAGAGAGCTTTTGTAATGTGAGAGTGTAATGTGAGAGTGAGGCTTGAGGATTGTGAGGGTGAGGAGACCCTTTTATAGACTAAGGGCTCATTCATTTTTTTACATATTTGCCCCTTCATTTATTACATAATTACATTTGAGTTCCCCGAGTATTTATACGAGATCTAAATACGGATGCCTTAAGTATAGTACAAACAATGTACATAACAAAAGGAAAAAAAGGGTCAGCGAAAATTATTTCCCTTTCCAGAATTGCCTAATTTGGTATTCCCACAACTTAATGCATGTGCATGGAAGCGGAAAAAGATTTGAAACAGAATCCCAGCTTTAAGAAAGGTAAGCCTGCAGCAAGAAAGGGATGGCCAAAATTATCAAATGGATAAGTCATCACCACCGGCCAGTGGGGTTTTATTTGGCACTGATTGAAAACCAAAATTTAACACGCACGAAGTAGGGTCGTGGCCTAATTGAAAACCAAAATTAATATTTTCCACTCAAAAAATAAAATTAAAAAAACATTCAGGCAAAGTCACAATGGGCCCAGTTTATCTCTCTCCTCCCCCTCGAAGATAGGTGTTGGATGCTACAATTCTCCCTTTGCTGAGTGTGGACTTTGTGTGTCAATTTAAAAATGTCCTTGGGGGCCTTGAGTAGGCCTTCGTGCTCTGTTAAATGACTAAATGAGTATGTTGTTTTTCAGGAGCACCACTGTTAATTTAGACCAACATATTGATTTGTATAATTTTATTGTTAGATAGTTAACTTGCACAATAAGTAAATCGCACTTCTTGTCATCAAATTGCGCAGTAAGTAAATCGAACTTTTTTTAATAAGATCAGCTCACACACTGTTTCTTTATTCTTTAAAATTAAGGTATCCATTATTGAGAGTTGTTCCACATCAGTGAGGAACAAATTTTGTTATATGCTTATATGGTATTGGGCTACTCCTCATATTACCAATAGGTTTTATAGTGGAACCTCAATTTCATTATGGTATTAGAGCAAGTTGGCTTCCTGTGAAGCCAAACGGCCACACGCGCTTCACGTCACCTTGTTGTGTTGTCCACGTGTAGGCTTGAAAATCGGCCACACGTGCGGGGACGTGTTGAGAGTTGTCCCACATAGGTGAGGGACAATGTTTGCTATATGCTTATATGGTCTTAGGCTACTCCTCATATTGCCAATAGGTTTTATGGTGGAACCTCAATTTCATTGTCCATTAGTGCTTGGCAGTTGAGAATGAATGGATTGGGCCTCGCATAATTTTAGTCCAAACAACAGGCACCTCCAGTCGCCCTAGCAAGCAACAACCACACTGTTTCTGCATCTGGTTCTCTCCCTATCCTGCGCTCTGATCTATTACGTAAAACCTTTTTCTCCCACTTCCCAAGAAACCCATAATCTTACTTGCTGATCTGTGCAATATTGATCCTCTCACCTCTCCGATCATCCTCCATTGAAATCATTGTTTTCTCTTAACTAAAGATTATGACTTTTCTCTTGCAACTTCCCAGAATCCAAAATGCTTGAATTTGATTGCTAATAGGGTTCTCTTTATCTAAATTAAATCCCATTATTGTGTGAATGTCTTTTCGCGCCTTATGATTGCTATCCATCAGGCACAGTTGATGAAAGTGTGTCTTTCTCAGAAGAAGAAAATCAAACCGTATACCTGATGGGGAAAGCAAATAAGGCTCAACTATCAAATGTATTCAAGAAAGTTGTACATATATAATATCTACCACCAATTTTACGTGGAATATAATTTTCTCTAAAATTTGAAGAATGAGAAAAGATACGAGTCTTACATGTCTTACGAGTAGATCAAGAAAAAGGAAAGGCAGCACATCAAAGGTGAGATAATAGTTTGGTCCTTTTCTTTTGTGAGAATGATTCTTGTCTTCGTAGTTGTTCAAGTTTCTCATCTCTTAGCAATTAGCACGGTTGATGAAAATGTATCTTCCTACTAAGAAAAAAAATCAAACCCGTATACATGATGGGGAAAGCAAAGAAGGCTCCATTATCAAATGTATCCAAGAAAGTTGTACATATCACATGATTTGCATCTACCAGCAATTTCACGTGGAATATTATTTTCTCTAGAACTTGTAAAAAGAGAAAAGGTATGAATCTTACTTGTCTTACAAGTAGACCAAAAAAAAGAAAGACAACACAACAAATGTGAGATTTTGCTTTGGACTTTTTCTTTTGTGAGAATGAGATTTTTATTCTTCTTTGTAATTGTTTCAAGTTTTTCTTCTATTATTAATCAGGCAAAGTTGGTGAAAATGTGTCTTCCTCACAAGAAGAAAATCAAACAGTATAGGTTATGGGAAAGCAAAGAAGGCTCCACAATCAAATGTAATCTACCACCGATTTCACGTGGAACATAATTTTCTCTAGAATTTGTAAAAGAGAAAAGATACAATCTTACTTGTCTTACAAATAGACCAAAAAAAAAAGATAGCACATCAAATGTTAGATTATACTTTGTTTTTTTTTTCTTTTGTGAAAATACGATTCTTACTTGTCTCTGGAGTTGTTCAAGTTTCTCATCTGTTATTAATCAAGCACGATTGGTGAAAGTGTGTCTTCCTCAGAGGAAGAAAATTAAACCATATACATGATAGGGAAAGCAAATTAGCTCCACAATCAAATGTATCCAAGAAGTTTGTACACACACACACACACACACACACACATATATATATATAACATCTACCACAAATTTCACGCAGAATATAATTTTTCTCTATAATTTGTAAGAAGAGAAAAGATAGAGTCTTACTTTTCTAACAAGTAGACCCAAAAAAAAGACAACACATCAAGGTGAAATTATACTTTGGTCTTTTTCTTTTGTGAAAATGTGATTCTTACTTGTTTTCGTAGTTGTTCAATTTTCTCATTTCAAGTCAGAATGAGATTCTTCCCAAATCTCTTTAAATTTCTCTCCATTTTCTCATTGGATTTCATTTTCTTTTCATCTTCGAAAACTTGTAATCATTTAGGAGGCTTCTATTTTCAAAATTGTTTAATATTTTGGATTGCAGGTTCTTCCTTGTTAGATCGTGACTTCAGTTTATTTTCGTTCTTGGATCTTGCTGCTTCCCCTTTGGTTACCCTTAGTGGAAAATCAGGTAAAAGGTGATCGAGTTGAGTTGGAAGTTAAAAATTCGGAAGATAAACACACGTTCTATGATAGATGTTATACAGAGCACATCAAAGGTTGATTATACTTTGGTCATTTTCTTTTGTGAAAATGCGATTCTTACTTGTCTTTATAGGTTGATTAAATTTCTCTCCATTTTTCTCATTTGATTTCATTTTCTTTTCACCAAAATTTACGTGTCTACATTGTTATTTTTACTTTTCCGAATACCTTCAATTTGATATCAGAGAGAGAGACTATTGGATATATAATCATTTCATTTTAGGTTTGATAAGAATCCGTTTGATAAATACTTTGTTTTTAATTCTTAACTATTGTGTTTATTAAAAAAAGAAAAAAAAGAAAAGCAGAATGGTTATCAGATAGGACCTTGTACAAAGCGTTTAATTTTGTACTACTTTTGTATCTTTCTTGGTACCAAGCCTCTTTTAATTGTTGATATTTTATTATAGACAGAGAATAGAAAACTTGATATCATCCCACAAGCATTAGCACGTTTTAGGAAAAACCCTGAATTGAAATTCGAAACTTTGATCATTCTTTCAGATAAGCAGACTTTCCATTTTAGAGGTGTTGACCCTAGAAACTACAAAGCCTACGTGGCGCGCAGGCCGAGTAATTAATGAGCTAATTACGTCCTTCGGTGAATGCGGGGCGTGCCAACTCGTCGGCCGAGGAGTAAATTTGTTGATGTTGCGTTGGGTCGCGCTACTGACTTCTGTGTCTTGCGATTGCGGCCGAGAAAGGAACACGTCTCGGCCTCTTGGGTTCTCGAACCTGAAGACAAGGTTACTATTCTTACGAAGTTCAAAATCAAATTCGGCTTTCAATGTGCCGAATGTAATAACTGTAACACCTCACTTCGCCGAGAAGGCTGATGAGATGACCTCGACCAATAAGGATTTAGAAACCCTTCTCGACCGAGACTTGGATAGGTAATCAATCGTTCTCGCCGCAGTGCTGTTGATGCCAACGGAAGATACTGCGAGACCGACTGACTCTACGGTGACAGAGCTATCTATGCCAACTTAAGATATCACCGGTTGCTTCCACAGTGCTGTTGATGCCAACGGAAGATGTGTCAGCGAAAAAGGAAAAAGAAAAATCACAAGTTGTGAGAGTTTGCGCAGGGCAATTTTGTATTGATTTGTGGGGCCTTTCCCGTTGCTGAATGTCTTGTATTTATAGTAGCAGAACACCGAGTCCGAATTCCAATCCTATTCGAACTAGGTTCCCTTCTCCGGATTAACATTACCTCGATCAATCTTATCTCTGCTAGGACTACGAATCTAGTCCTTAACTGAGCCGGATTCGCCTTCTAGTTTACTGATCTCGTCGAGAGTCCCTATTGTATTAGGACTCGACTTGCATTCTGATTTAACCGACCTAGGCTCGGAAGCCCATGAGCTGAACGCTCCATGACCCTTTCGCCGTACGGCTTCCCGGGCCGAGAGTGATTCCTCCCTCGGCCCAAACTTGTTATTTTGGGCCCAAACATTGCCCCCTCGCTTCTGAGGTCCTCGACCTGAAACCTTCGGCCGAGTTTCGGCCTTGAAGAAGCGAATCTATCACTCAGAATCCTAATACCCGAGTTCCAAGGCGCATTTATTGAACATGATCGCACGATCTTGATCCTGCTAAATCACTCGCCACGTGGCATCCTCTAACATGGCCAATCCCCAATAATGACGTCTGAAGCATGCGCCTGCCCGAACCGTCTTGCCATTATGACCACTATCTCAATCTGCGAGCCACTACCTCAGTCCGTGAGCCCACCTGTCATCGTGCAGGCGTCGAACCGTCTTTCGTCATTAACTTCGCCGTCACACGCGATCGTGCGCCCCCAAAACCTAAAACCGTCGGTCTTCTCAACCGTATTTCCCAAATGTTCATCATGATCAACGATTCCTCCGGTCGATTTTGTCCTTTGTTTTGAATTTCGAACGATTGCTCTTCCCTCCACAACTCTATAAATACCGAAATTCTCTCATTTGTACTTTACGCTTCCAAAATTTTCTGAAATCCCTTGCCATTGCTCTCTAGTGCATTCCTTTATTCCAAGTCTTCGTCTTCAAACCCCCAACCCAGAAAATCCTTTTACGCCGTGATTCTTTCTCATAATGGTGTCCTTCATCTCCAAGCTTTCCAAGGAATATGACCAGCATCAGAAGATTCTTGATCGGAGCTCGATCAAGACTATACGGTTTGAAAACGACATGAGCACTCAGCACCAGATCCTGGGTCCTCTCTTCAAGGCTGCAATACCGCCGACCATCACCGGCCTTCTCCAGGAGCACTGCCTAACACCCTTGTTTCAAGGGTTTGAATGGTCGCGATGGGACGCGGTGAAATCCCAGGGCTCCTGGCCTTCGACGACCACAACCTGGGCAGCCTGGGTCGTTCGAATGGAACGGCTCTTCGGCGATCAATGGAAGGCCCTCGGCATCTACGACGCCATCCTCCTCTCGTCCATGGATGTCGTCCTCGACAAGGAGCTTCTCTTAGCCGCTCTGTGCTTCTGGTGTTCGGCCACCAACACAATGGTTCTTCCCCTTAGTCCCATTGGTCCCACCGTCCTGGATATCATCGCCATTCTGGGGACTTCGGCAACCGGGATCCCCGTCGCCGCGACTCTTTCTAGGCACCCGTCGAATATCGATCTGAAGACGTTTTTCGACCGTCGAGCCTTCGAGACCCTGAACCGTGACGGTCACATCCCGTCGAAGGAAGACATTCAGAAGCTCCACAAGAACTTCTGTAATTACAACACCCTCTACCTTCACTTCGCCGGCCGAGGAGAAGAGGACCTGCGAGAATGAGAGCATGAAGTCTTCCTCTTTTATTGGTACAACAAATATATTTGTTGTACCAAGTCAAACAAGTGTTTGGTCGAGAACATGACGGTAGCCGAAGCCCTGGCTAGTGGTCACGTCCTGGCACTGAGTTCCAACATTCTCGCCCAACTCTTCCGCTGCCTGGCCGAAACAACCCTCCACAAGGTCGACCCACACCAGAATGGTCCCCTCTGGGTCTTCCAGCTCTGGTTACAAGTGTATTTCGTCTCTCTTCGGCCGGCCATAGCTGACTTCTCATCAACGGAGGCGCTTGGACCTCAGTTGGCCTCTCGACCGATACCTCCCCATCAAGCCGAAGAGGTATTTCGGTACCTCTTTGCTCTCGACGACTTCTCCAACGACGAGTTCCTGATATGTCGTCGTCGAGACTATCCTTCCTCCATCAAGCTGCCTACCTCTACATGGGGCGCAGAGGAAGAAGCAGATCTTCGTCAGACCTGGGGGTCGTTTGTGCTTGTTCGTGACCTCTCTCTCGGCTGTGACGGGAAACGGTCGGGTTGGGAAGTATATCATCCGAACTTCCTTGCCCGACAACTCGGCTATCTTCAGGGCTGCCCCGTCCCCATTCTCTCCTCCCGAACACTCCTAAGCCGAGGACGTGAGCCCCGTTCCTCGGAGACGGAATGTAACACGGCTGTGAGGGAGTTCCAAGAGCGTTGTCAAAAATTCCGTCTTCGACCGACCACCCCCGAAACCCATTGCACTGACACCTTCGGTGAATGGTGGGAAAATTACACTCAGGAGTTCTTTGGTGCTCCGGTCGAAGAGGTGCTAAACAGACTCTTTGGTGACCGTCCTAAGAGGGCATCGGCTCCCCAAACTCAAGGTAATTTTCATTTATCGCCGGTTCCTTCCAACCTTGCATATTGATTTGCCTTACTGAATTGTTCTTATCTTCTCAGGGAATCGGCCTTCGAGAAAGACGGAAACTGTTACCGCGGCCACGGTCGAGAAAAAATCGGCCCTGGTTAAAAGGGTTAAAACTGCTGTTCGGGCCGTGCCAACCAAACGACCTCGCCGAGAGGCCGAGCCGGCCATCGAGCCTCCGCCGCCTGCCAAGCGGGTAAAACAACTAGCAAAGAAGGGCGCACGGGAGATCCATGTCATCTCCAGTCAAACTACAGGGGCGACAACTCCCAGTGTTTCCCCTTCTCCCGCCGTTGTTCAACCCTCGATCGAGAAACAGCCTGCCCCGGCCGCAGAGACAGGTCGACCGCGACCTGTCTCTGGGGCTGGTACACCAGTTCTGCCTCCCTCCGTCGAGGAGGCACCTATTCCAAAAATGGTGGCCTCTGCGACCAAGGGAGCAGCCCCTGAAAATCCAAAACCCTCGGTCTTCATCCTGGAAGAGAGTGAAGGGAGCGATGAGGTCCCGCTGGCAGATCGCCCTCACTCTCGTCGGCAACCTCCCCCAAAGTCAGAGATGGTGGTTCAAGCCGGTCCCTCCACGGCTGATCGTGGCAAGCGCCCAGTCGAGGAGCCGACGGCGGCGGCCGATCCCCTTGCTCCTTCCCAGGATCAAGATGTTCCTGCCTCATTCGAAACGGCCGTTCAGGTCGGCCCATCTGCAGCCGACCGCGGCAAACGTTCACTCGAGGAACCCGAGGCGACGGCGGAATCGCCCGTCCATCCTCAAGACCAGGGCTTCCATATCCCTCCACAGGATGTTACCTCGGCCTTCGTAAGTATCTTCTACAGTCTTTCCTTGATTGTTTTTCTGCTCTAGAATTCTAAACGAAGACAATACTAAATGTCAGGTGCCCTTACATTCTTTTCACCGTCAATTCTACGTGCCGAAGGGCGTTATTTATATTTCTTGGCCGCCTCAGTGGCCATCAAACGTAGATAACCTCCATCGGCCGTGTGAATTGAGAAGCAATCTAAGACACTGGGCTCGGCCATTGAGTTCTTTAGGTTCGAGCAACGATCCTGGGGACATGGCCGAGGTCTCCTCTCGGCAGGTTAAAAAACAACGAAACCTTCTTGCTATTCTTGTCATGACTTTCTTTAAGCCTAACCTTGTTTGTACATGCAGGTTTCGTGGGAGGTCGAATTCAAAGCCCTCCTCTCCAGCACAACTGCAGAGTCCGGCCCTTCGGCCGCTCCAACTGAAGCTGCTGATCCAAACGCTTTAACCCAGCTGCGGGAGTTTTGTCGCTCTCCGCGTCCCAAGTGCTAGAGCGCAATGGTCTTGATCAGCTTGGCGTATGTCTGAACGATCTTGGGGCCGACGGTCGCCTAAGTGAAGATGCCATCGTTCAGGCGTCGTCTGCCTTGGAGCGGGTTCGGGAGACATTTAGTGTCTTCCAGACTGCTCTAAAGGCCGAAGAGGATCTACAGACTGCCACGGCCGTTCAAGACACTCTTCGCCCAAAAATCGATGATCTGAGGGCAAAAGGAGAAGTACTAGCCGAGCTCGATCGTCAGATGGCCGAACTGGCAAAACGTCGGTCGGCCATTGCTTCCGAGCTTGCTAGAGACTTTGAATCGGGCGGAAAGGATCGCCTTACTGAATACGTGGCTGCAATAAAGCGGGTCGAGCGGTTGAAGCTGGACAAGAAGAACCGGCAAGCTGAGGTTATCATGGCCGACGTGCGGTGGTTGGAGTTGAAGGCCCTGCTCAGCACTCTTCTTCCCTCTTCTCCTTAAATGTATCTGAATGTAAACCAACCGACCTACTCATTTTGTAAATACTTATCAATTTTAATGGACTGGTTTACTATTCCCGCATTTCCCATGTGACTGGATAATATTTCTTCAAAAACTTCCCATTAATCGGTAATCTGTGGACCGCACCGGTTCGGTCTTTAAGATGATATGCCCCTTTTCCATATACCTTATGCACAATAAACGGCCCTTCCCAATTCGGCGACCACTTGCCGAACCTAGGATCTTTTATTCCTACGGGCAACACCGTTTGCCACACTAACTCACCCTCGCCGAATGTTTTTTCTGTGTCGCACCTTTTGATTATAGGCTCGCTCGGCAATCTGTTTTTTCGCCACTAATAAGTTATAAGCGTCAAGTCGTGCTTCTTCCAAATCTTCTAATTCCTGTCTCATGGACTGACTATATTCGGCGCTAAACAAACTACTTTGTTCAATTAATCGCAACGAATTTATGCTCAACTCGACTGGTAGCATTGCATCGTGTCCGTAGGTTAATGCGTATGGGGTTGTCGCAGTCGCCGACCGGGGCGACGTTTGGTATGCCCATAATGCCTCGTTCACCTTCAAATGCCACATGCCAGGCCTTTCTTTTATTATTTTTTTGAGGATACCGATCAACACTTTATTACTTGCCTCGGCCTGCCCATTCGCCTGTGGATAATACGGTGTGGACTGTTCCAGCCGAATTTTCAAATTGGCCGTGTATTCCTTAAACCTTTCGGCTGTGAAGATTGTTCCATTGTCGTTTATGATCGTTTCTGGCACACCGAACCGGGTCACAATGTGTTCCTCCACGAAATCGCAAACTTCTTTAGATGTTAACTCGGCATATGATTTTGCTTCGACCCATTTGATAAAGTAATCCGTTGCGACTATTATCCATGCATGCTTAGCAGCTCCAGAAGTCGGCGTGATTTTGCCGATTACATCCATGGCCCATCCTCTAAACGGCCATGGCTTAATGACCGAATGTAATGATTCGGCCGGGACCCTTTGTATAGGCCCATGGATTTGGCACTGGACGCATCTTCGTGCAAACTCGATACAATCTTTCAGTAATTTCGGCCAAAAATAGCCGTGTCGTCGGAGTAGCCATCGCATTTTACGTCCGGATTGATGAGCTCCGCAAATCCCTTCATGAACTTCCGAGATCGCCCGAGCACCCTCTTGGGGGCCGAGGCATAGCAGTAGTAATCCATCCTCCCCTTTTCGATATAACTCGTTCTGGTACGTGACATAGTTCGTGGCGTGAACTCGTGTCTTGCGACTATGTTTTTCATTGGGATTATCAAGGTACTGCATAATGGGTTTTCTCCAATCATCTGGTGTTGCCTCGACGGTGCAGACCTCTATAGTATCTTGTCGGTCTAACAACGAAGGTAAAGACATGACTCGAGTGCGTATTACATCGTTGAGCCGGAGGATTTGCTGGTTGACCAAGGCCGGGTATAATTGTCATAGCACCGGTATTTCTCGGCCTAGCTTGCCCCCCAGGAGTTGTGCACCAGAGGCAATTTGAGCCAGTTCATCTGCGTCGGTATTATGGATCCGGGAAACATGCTCGAACGTAATACCGGCAAAGGACTCGGCCAAATAGCTGGCAACCATGTGGTAGGGTGCCAGGGTACAACTCATGCATCGAAAATATCCATTAAGTTGGTTGATCACAAGTTCAGAGTCACCGAGGACGAGGGCACGGGTGGCCCGCAAGTCATGAAGGAGGCCAAGGCCGATGATTAAGGCTTCATATTCGGCCTGATTATTGGTGCAGTCAAAATCCAACTTAAGCGAAAAATACCAACGTTCATGATTAGGAGATTGAATGACAACTCCAACGCCGGCCGAGGATGAAGTACTGGACCCGTCAAAATACATCGTCCAATAGTTGTCACGTGCTTCCACCATGCCGATTTCAACATCGGTGTCCCCAAAACCATAGGGGGAAGGATGGTGAGCCAGGAAATCGGCCAATGTTTGGCCTTTGACAGCTTTTTGAGGCACGTATTGTAGGCTAAACTCGGACAACGCCATCGTCCACTTCCTAATTCTCCCTTTTACGATCGGCCAGGTAAGCATGTACCGGATGACGTCGGTCTGGGCAATGACTTGTGTGACCGACGGAAGCATGTAATGCCGGAGTTTAGAGGCGGCGAAGAACACAGCAAGACAGAGCTTCTCCACGGCGGAATAATTGATCTCCGGTGGATTAAGATTTCGACTGAGGTAAAAAATAGCCTGCTCTCGCCCGGCATCATTGTCTTGGGCAAGGAGGCAGCCGATTGACTTTTCAGCCGCCGAAATATATAGTTTGAGGGGTTTACCTCACCGAGGTGGAACAAGAACAGGTGGCGTTGTAAGGGAGACTTTGATTTGTGTAAATGCCGTCTGATGCTCGGTCGTCCACGCAAATGTATCCGAGTCCTTAAGTTTCAAAAGCGTGGAAAACGCTTTCATTTTTCCTGCCGAGTTAGTTATAAATCGGCAGAGAAAATTTATCTTGCCGAGTAAGGACTGCAGTTGTTTCTTCGTAGTCGGTGGTGGAGCACTGACGATTGCACGTGCCTTATTCTCATCGACTTCAATTCCCCGATGATGTACGAGAAAACCAAGAAAATTCCCAGCCGAGACACCAAAGGCACACTTGGCAGGGTTCATCTTGAGGTTGTGCTGACGCATGCGAAGGAAAGCCTGTCGGAGATCGTCCAGATGTGTCCGTTGGCGTTTAGATTTGACGACAACATCGTCGATGTAAACTTCGACGATGGTACCAATTAAATCATGGAAGATGGTGTTCATCGCCCGTTGGTACGTGGCGTAGGCATTTTTGAGGCCGAATGGCATAACAACCCATTCGTAAGTGCCGAGTGCCCCCGGGCAACGGAAAGCAGTTTTGTGCACATCGGCTTCGGCAATAAATATTTGGTTGTACCCGGCATGTCCATCCATAAAGGAGAAGATCGCATGATTCGCCACGGCGTCGATTAACAGATCTGAAATCGGCATTGTATACGCGTCTTTGGGAGTTGCCAGATTCAGATTGCGAAAATCGGTACAGATGCGCAATGCACCATTTTTCTTTAATACAGGAACGATATTTGCCACCATCGACATATCGAGCTGTCCGAATGAATCCGGCTTTCAAAAGCCTAACTAGTTCGTCCTTGACACTGAGTTGTACTTCGGTCGAGAATCGACGAGGTGGCTGACGGAAAGGTTTAAACCCGGGCTTAATACGTAATTCATGCTCGACCAGAGTACGATCTAAGCCGGGCATTTCATGATAACTCCAAGCAAAACAATCTTTGAATTCCGTAAGCAAGGTACGAAACTCGTCTTTCATTCGTTGGGGGAGTAACGCACTAATAAACAAAAGCCGTGGGTCATCGGCCGTCCCAACATTAATCTCTTCCAAAGGGTCCTTAACGAGGGGCCGATGATCTTCGAGCTCGGCCGGGGCGGCTCGAATTTCATCAAAAGATAATACAGGCCCATTATCTCCCTCAGCAAGGAACTCGACGAGGTTGACGCCCGAATTTGGTTGTTTAGATATCGTATACCAATGGGCCAGCAGTCGTTCCATAGTAGATGAACCGCGGCCCTACGGCTTCCCGATCGGTGTCAAACATCGGCTTCGGGGAGGAAGTTAGCTAATCCGAGTCTCGCCGAATCCTGCTGGACAGTCTCGGTGCCAACCTCGATAACTTTCTGAACGGAAATCCGAGTCGGCCGTCCCTCTTCATTGAAGCCTTGCAACGTAATATAGCCGACGTGATCGTCATAATACCGTGCTTGAATCATGTTGGCTTCGAAGGGCTGGCTATCGGCCGGATGAACAGTGACCGATTTGCCGTCCCAAAAGACAAGCACTTGGTACAATGAGGAAGGAATACAACTGGTTTGATGAATCCAATCTCGGCCGAGCAGTGCATTATTACTCGGTTTTGGAATCAACCACGAAAAAAGGCGGTCAATATGGGTGCGACCGGCAATATTCACAGTTAACGGAAGCACACCTTTGGTGTGGGATTTGTCGCCAACAAAACTACTCATTGTGATTCCTGACGGAATAAGCTCGTCATTTGAACGGCGTAAGGCCTTCATGATGTCAGGGGCATGATATTGACAGTAGCTCCACAATTGACAAAACTTTAGAAACCGGATACCCTCGATGTGTGCCGTTACATACAATGGCTTTAAATGGTGAAGCTTGGCCGATGATAAACGAGGGAAACAATTCGGCCAAAGCAGCCTTTAGACTATCATCTTTTGTTGTTGGCTCGCCTTCAGCAATTGATACGAAATCAACATAGCCGGGTTCCTCAGCAACCACATCCCCATCGAGGAAAATTTGTTGAGCCGTGCTTGATTGAAAATCGCAGGTAACACATGGACCATACTGATTTCCATATTATCCAGGACTGACGGGCCCCAACTGGTCAAGACCTTCCTCGTTCGGTTTGGTCGCGACTACGGACTCAGTTTCGTCAGAGAGTCGGACCAACGAGATTCT